TAGTCTGGGTATTACCAACAAGGACATCTTAGAATAGTATTTTCATTCTGACCAGACCTGTCAAGTGCTCTGAGGTAATGGAGTAACTCTACCAGAGGCCCAGGCCTTCCCAGGCTGTGGCACCTCAGTGCGCTTCTGTTGGTGAACTTTACCTGTTGGTGAATTTGCTTTTCTAATAGTTTGCTACAACCTGAACAAGCATGTCCAGTTGTTATGACTTCTTACTGTCTGGGTTAAGGGGTTGGGGGGGGTGCCTTTAGAGAGCTGCCTAAGGTGAGCCCTACTAAGTCAGGTATCCTGCAGTTATCCCCAAACTGCCCAGAGTGAGAGGAGGGCTGAAGGAAAGCCAAGGCTTTTCCTCCAGTCAAACTATGGTGAGAAGGAGATGTGTGTACAAAACAGACTTTGACGTTTCCAACTGAAATGAGTGTCTCCTCTGGATATTCCCGGTGTCTCTTCTGGATGTGCCCTCCCGTTTATGGTATTGACACCCTATATGCTAGACAGCATACACCGGGCACTCTGAAAACATTAGTTGAAAGACTAAATGTGAACACGAATTCCCTACACCACCATCACCATCTATTTTCTTCTTTTTAAGTAGAAGAAAGGAGCAATGTGCACGGCTCAAAATAGAATGAACTGAGCTCTGGAGGGCAGGTGGGAAAGCCAAAAACTCCAATAGACTGTGCCTTTCACAGTGTGATCCTCTGAATCCACCTCTCCTGGAACCTCAGATGTCCTGAGCACGGGTTTCTCCCTGTGCATTTATTCCTTCCCTGCCCCCCCTCCAAATAATTTTCTGCCCCACAATTCCTTCCTGACCTAAGAAATGACTCTGCTGTGAAATCTTGCAGTGGGAGAAATGACTCTTACTTCTTTTCAGCAGGGGATGAAAAGCCCAGGCATCTCACAGAGGCCTAGGACCTGAGCAGTGCCTGGAAATAGGCCTCTCAGCCCTCTGGTGGTGCCTGGGGCCCAGCTAGAGCTCCACAAGTGGCACGGTCAGAATTTTACCCTAAGCAGACAAAGTAATAACAGAGACTGGTGAGAGCCCCCACCCCAAATTCAACCTGAAGCCTTGCCCAATGCCTAAGCAGCAGCTGAGATTTCCCAGCCTGTGGAAGAAACTCTGGAAAATCAGGTGGATGGAATCCATTTTCTGGTTTACCTTTCCCAGTCCTAAGCCTTAAAAACTAGGAGAGTTTTTCTGAACTCCAGATCAGCTCAAGGACAAATCTACCAGGTTCCCTGGGCAAATCAGCCCCGGGATTCCCCCAGCTTTCCAGTCAAGCCCAGGGAAAAGGTACCTCTTACCTGCACATCACCTCGTGTGTCAGGAGAACTCTGCACATTTCGGGATTCTTATTCTGTCCCTCATAGGCTATGGGCTGTCAGAAAGGAGACATGGACAGGATGGAGGCTTTAGAACAAGCACTAAATCAGTTCCCTCTCACTAGCTGTTAGGAGAGCTCCCGCCTCTCAGGCAGCACAGAACCAGAGTCTTTGCCTGGTTAATAAACAGCCCAAAGAAGTTTGCTCTTAGTTCTTAGCAAAGAGGAATTCTCCAGCGAACTGAATCTTCAATAATTGTTTGCTGTCTTCAGCCCTTCATTTATCACCTCCCAACACCCAGCATTTCCCCATAGCAGATGAAACAGGGCCACCAGAGCAAAGGGGAGGGGGCTCCCCCAGAGCGAACTTGAGGTAAAGAGAAGTGTGAATCCCATACTGTAAATCATGCAAGAGGCAGAAGTCACCAGACAACCAGAGGAAGAAGGGAGCCAACGGTAGGCTCCCTTCTAGTCTCACCTGTTTGGTGACAGAGTCGATGAGCCTGACATAGAGGTCCTGCTCTGTAAGGACACCTGTGTGGGAGGGGACAGGCGGTTTGCAAGGATGGCAAAGACCCTCTCCCATCTTAACCCTTTCCCTGCACTGGAGCCTGATCCAGTCAGTCAAGCCACAGACGCCTGGATGGAATTGACAGAAAGGGAGACACCCCTCCACTCCCATCCCAGACCAAGGCTCCCCACAGGACTGCCCTCACTAGCCTTCTACCTCCCAAGCACAGTAGGAGGTAATCACAGCAGCGACCAGACTTTGCTGCTTGAAGGCTGAGTGCTTGCTTGCCCATGAAGCCACTTACCCTTGCTGTAAAGGAGCTGTAACTTGTAATGAGTACCATTGTTGGTCTTCTCATTGCCTTGCTCCTGAAAAGACAGAAACCCTTCATTCTTGAACTTTTAAGTGACACCTCACACACACACACACACACACACACACACACACACACACACACACACAACCCCGTGTCCAGACTCAGACCAATGGTCAAGGAACATTTCCCACCATTGGCCATCTTGGGAATTTTGTCAAGGCCTACAGCCGCTTGACCTTGACCAGCCCTTGTCTCTCTTTTAAAAATCTCGTAAGTGTACCCCTGCTCGGACTCGGACTCCAGCACCAATTCTGTCTTTCAGCAGTCCCCACCCAGTCTTTCTGACCTTGATGAGCTCCTGAGCTACTCTCTGCAAGAAAAAAAAAAAGCTAAACCTGCCTGTCCTTTAGAAAAAGCAATATTAGCTGTGGTTCCGCAAAAAAGCCGGGAGTGACCATTACCAGGGCTCAGGGGCTTGGCAATGAGCTACCCCAGGTTTCCCTTTCTTTGCTCAGCCAATGGGCTCCATCCCTGCTGTTGGGCATATAATGGTTTAGGTAAACAAGCCTTCATTTAGGATCAAACATAGCTCTCAAATTAGGGTTTGAATTCAAGGGAAGCGCTTAGTTGTTGGGGGAGTAAGCGAGCCATGGAAGGCTGCCCTGAGTTCCCACAGAAAACTCAATCCACCCACCTACACCCCTGCCCTCTTTCCCACTGCAGAGAGAAAATAATAATAATTTCAAAAAAAAAAAAAAAACAACCTGGAGACTGACAGCGGCAGCGTTGGGTATACTTTTAAAACTAGGTCTAAAGAACTTTTTCCACGGGGTCAATCGATGGCCTGCCGCTATTGCTATTACTGACCCCAAGGCTAGGGCGCACAGCCGCAAGCGCCTGGTTTGGAGTACGGGCTCATTGAGATGCGGAGGGAAATTCACTGAGTTAGAAGCTGAGGGTGAGATGCCTCAATTTATCAACCCTGATGATGCGAGCGGGAGTGTCACAAGTGACAGATGGAATCCTTAGTGCCGGGTTGGAAGGGGAGGGTTTAAGGGGTCCGCTTACTTTGTCGTTCTCCACAAAGTCCACGAAGGCCGTGCGCTCAATCTCCACCGGCTGTCCCTGCCTATCTTAGAGCGCCAGAACAAAATGAAAGAAGTTGGATTTCCTCAAGTTAGAAGGAGGTTGCTTTTCAAAGTGGGCCTGGGACAGGGCAACTCCACTGCACAGGAAGTGTTGGGAGAGAGAAACAGGACAGGGGAAAAGAGAGAAAGACTGGGTGTTAGGCAGTTACTAACATGCCCAGACAATATTGCAGAAGGGCCAGGAAGTCCACTGCCCGGAACTCAAGACCCGAAACCTTCAGGGCCTTTATCATTTCTGATTAAGAAGCACACTCCCTCAGAGGGGTTGCAATAGACACCTTCCTTCCACTGCCCAGAATCCCGTCAAAATTCACTTTTAGTAGAATTGAAAGACCAGGGCTACTGGCCGGAGTCCTAAGAAGCGCTGCTAAACCCCAGGTGCCTGCCCCAAAACTCAAAGCTGTGACACAGATAGGGATAGGGTTCTTTTGCATTTGAACAAGTGACTCCCTGTAATTCCTGGCTAATGAATTTCTGGACCTGCTCCACAGGCTACAAGATTGGAAGCCTGGAGCCCAAGCCTCTGCCCTCACGACTTGCCTTACTCTACCGAAATTTGCATCCAGGATAGCATCACCGCAAAAATCCCTACAGTCATTGCTGGCGATAGTGGACCAGGGTTGAGGACGACCTTCGCCCTCAAGAGCCGCTCCACGTGGAGAAGCCAGAATGTTAAGAGACAATCAGAGTCCTGGCCAGAGACCCGGGCGATCCTCGTTCAAGCGTTTTCTCCAATTCTCTGACTCTGTAAAGCTGGACCCGGAGCGCTCCAGAGCCTTGAATGTGTACACAAGACCTCCCTATATACCTAGCTCTGATTGTGCCACATTTGACTAAAAACTTTGTGGAGCCGACGAATTGACAGATGGTGAGGGCAGCCTGGTGGCCCTGAGGTCTTCTGGATTCTTCTGCTGGGCATGGTCGCAGGCACTTTTTTTGAAATGTATAATTTTGGCTAGACCACAACAGACTGCTGTCTCAAACTTTAATAAAGTACATTTTATTTCGGACGGGAAGACAGGAGGGAGATGTCATTAAGCCCCGCTAAGGAGCAGATCTACGGAACTGCCTTAGTTCCCTCGGCTTGTCACTGGAGCGAGCTTTTGAGAGCCGTGGCCTCCGCGAAGTACCATCTGCTTCAGGGATAACTGAGCATTCGACTCCAGAGGAGTGGCAATCGGGTACGGCAGCTGCCACTTCAGTCGTCCAGCTTGTGCCCTTTGCTGCTACTCCTTGAAGGGTGGCAGCCAGTTCGCTCTACCCGGGACACCTGGAGATATGGCCTGTCTGCAAAAAAGGTCATTTCTCAATGTGATGTCAAGATTTAAGGAGGTTGGCACAGAACACGGAGGGAGAGACAAGAGTCGTGGAAGAAGTTTGTGGGCTCTTGGAGAGGGTAAAGGAGCTGCCTCTTGAAGACCTGGACACGAAGGCCACAAAACTCATTTCAGAAGCGACGGTGAGAAGCGGGACTAGAGTGTCTTTGTGGGATGGAACCCTAGACAAGTCTTAACCATCCGTACATGCGAAGATTTGGAAACAAAATCAACTTGAGGAACCCGCAAAACTGGAGGCTGGTCTTCTCTGTGGCTCAGGCAACGGATCT